TCTGAAACACCTGGCATTGGCCACTGTTGGAAGACAGGATACTGGGCTAGATGGACCATTGGTCTGACTCAGTATGGCCATTTTTATGTTATGTTCTCAATTAAGGGCACAAATTTTTAATTTGAAATAAATCTTGCCCTAAGCATTTTGGGGCAGGGACCAGCTTTTTGTTCTGTGTTTGTACAGTGCCTAGCACCATGGAGTTCTGGTCCATGATGGAGGCTTCTTAGTGCTATCAGAATACAAATAATAAATAATAATTGATCATTATCACTGGGTGAAATTATGTAGCCTGTGTTATGTAGCAGGCCAGACTAGACTCGCCATAATATGATCCCTTCTGGCCTATGAAACCTTGGTGAGCCAGCATTTTGGAAGCTTGCTGCTGCCCATGTTGTACCTGTTTGGTGGATAAATAAGGGATTTCCATCTGAAGGGCTGACAATCGGGCACTTTTCTTTGGGTTCTCAAGACAGTCTGGAGTTACCTGAAGCTGAAGCATCTCAGCGTTGGGGGTTGGCTTTAGTTGAACGGCAGTGTGTTCCCTGTCTCTTGCCCTTACTGGTTCCGTTCCCTCCGTTCACAGTGGTTTTCGGGCAGTTCGCCTTCTTCCAGACAGCGCTCAATGATGTCATCGAAGTTCACGATGGACCCAACCAGCACTCCCGGCTCCTCAGCTCGCTCTCCGGCTCTCACACAGGTAAGGATCAGTCACCGGTGCTGGCAGAGACGGAATGCCCTGGAACGATCGATGGGGCCTTGCCTCTCAAAAGGTCATCGTGCTGACTGATCCGTGACAAGCAGCGACCCCAGGCTATGGAGAATATGGCAGCACTGCTAGCCGGTTGGGGTAAGTTGGGCAAGGCCCAATGGGTATGTCTACGCCGCAGCTGGAAGTGAAAAGCTGGAGCCGGCCCTGGCATTTTAGATGTGCCAAATGTGGCATGCTGGGGAATGGTTATTTAGAAAGAGAGCGGGATTCATTCCCTCTGTTACACACTGTGCAGGCATTGCGTGAGTCAGCCATAGGCTGCCCTGTGCACAGCCCCTCACAAGCCCTTGCAAAATGAGGGGGGGTGGCAAGATCAGGGGAGAAAGGGGCCATAATGCAGAGCACGATGGTAGATTCTGAGCAGTTCTAGATTGCTGAGCTCTTCGTGGGCAGCCCCGGCATGGCTGTGGAACTTAGACCATCTTCCTGGTTTGCCAAAGTGATGCTGGAGGCTGATTCAGTTCTCGGCCAACACACAATCACACTTCCCCGCAGGAAGCTATTGCAGTGTTTCTCCCCTCGTAGCCGGTGTTATCTTCCAACTGAACATTGCCTTCCCTTCGTTTTCAGGACCCACCCATCCCTTGTTTGGCTTTATCTCCCCAATGCTGTACTTAAGGAACTTGTTTCCTTGTCGCGTGTGTGGTGCGAGATCCCCATTAGTGGGCGATATACGTCTAGGCCAAGATTGACCATTGATATGGGGTGCTTCATTTTTGGGATGCCCAGCTTGAGACACCTTAGAAGGGCCTGATTTTCAAAACATGCTGAGAACTTGTCCTCATTGCTGATCACTTCTGAAAATCTTCACCAGGGACTAGACTTCTCAGGACAGTGTTTTTGTAAGGTGTGCATCCTACCTTTTTCTTTTCCTCCAAAATTTTGAGTTCGGTTCTTTAAAAAAAGGAAATTATTATTTTTTTTTAATTGCAGCCACAATTGCATTTTTTCTCCCCAAAACCCCACCACCACCACCATAGGCAACCCCCAGCTGTGCAGAGCCATGTACTTCTACAGATAGATTCTCACTGATCCCTTGGTACAATTAACAATTGCTCTGTGTGTAAGGAAGTCTCCTCCATGCCCGCTTCAGAAAAACCTATACCGTAGAAGTTCCCCATGTTGAGACGGTCTTAGTAGAAAGGCCTCAGTAAACCAGTTCCCTGGGTGATGCTGTAATATGTGTACGCCTGCCGTCTGTTTCCCTCTCTCCCTGTCTAGGTGAATCATTGCCCTTAGCCACCACCAATCAAATCCTCATCAAGTTCAGTGCCAAGGGTCAAGCAACTGCCAAAGGATTTCATTTTGTCTACCAAGGTAGGTGCAGTTGTGGTCCAGAGATACGTCCATGGTGAGTAAATATCTCATTGACATTGACAAGCACTTTTTTTTTCAAATTGGTGGCCCAGATTTGAACCTGATCTTACAAAGTCCTGAGCATCTTTGATCGCTCTTGTTTCAGTGGATTTGAGGGCAAGAGATCAGTGGAGTCAGGCACACAGGTGCAATTGTTTCGGTAGCTTGGAGAGAGGCCAAGCACATGGTTGGGTGTCTGTCTAATGCAAAAACGATTAATCCCATTCACCCTATTGAGCCGCAGTTCAGATTCACAGGAATCTCTGTTCTCGTCAGAGCAGAACGGGCTGGCAAGTGGACCCCTTTTTTTTTTCAAAAACACAGATGGGCGTCAAAGTCTAACTTCTTGCTTCCCCATTTCCTGGCAGTTGTGTATGCATAGGTGGGGATGCCTGTCTGAGATGTGTTAGAGGGAGGGTGTGCAAGGCATCCTGGGTAAAACAAAACACATAGCACATGGACATTCATCTCTCTGGACCAAATTAAAATCAACGGAAGCGTCGCTAATGTGCTTGTAATCTTTGTTTTTTCCCCTCTCTTCCCAACAATTCCCGCCTGAAGTGCTAATAAATCTTAGCGCCACTGAGAGATGAAAATTCATTGATTTCCTACTCAGGAATAATCAGTGCTTTGACTTCTTTATTCCCACTGGGAGCAATTGCCCACTCCCACAACGGTCTGAGAGTCAGTCTCTCGCCCCTTCGCTCTCTCTGAAGCTCCGCTGTTTCCCGTACCATACAGCTCACAAGAGCATCATCCGCAAGTGGCAGGAGTTCAGGCACTTACAGAAATAAGGGCAGTGCCTGGGCCCGACTGTCTTTTCTCTCCCTCGCTCGTGTTGACAAGGATTGTTTTAAAATGTTACAATAACACACTCCATTGTTACAATCCATTACAATAACGAGACTCCTAGTAGCCTGAAAGAACCAAGTTTCAGAGTAGCAGCCGTGTTAGTCTGTATCCGCAAAAAGAACAGGAGTACTTGTGGCACCTTAGAGACTAACAAATTTATTTGAGCATAAGCTTTCGTGGGCTACATGCATCCGAAGAAGTGGGCTGTTAGGTGCCCTGTTTGCTTGAGCGCCATTGAAAAACTCAGCCTATAACCTCTTTGTGCCTTGGTTTTCCCATTTGTAAAACAGAGGTAACAATACTGCCCTGCCTCGCAGGGGTGTTGTGAGGGGAAACACATTAGCACAAGTAACACCTGAGATGGTGACAACAAAGAGGTTAAAGTGAAAAATGATCTCTCTTCTTTGTTCATGTTTGGATGTGACGGCACTTTTCATCATCAATTGCACCCTCTATAGCCAGTTTCCTCTGTTGTTTGTGTGGGTCTTTCACACTGGAGAAAAAAAACCATCTTGAACTAATAGGAAAAGGTGATTGTAAAATCCCAACAATTTATCAGGGGGACTCAGGAGCCAGTGTTGTACCAGGAACTATTTTAAATTCATTTTTAAAAAAGTCTAAATCTTTAGCTGGTGGTGTCCGTACATCACTGTGAACATGTTAAGTGCTAATCAAAGAATGATTGTGTGCAAGGACTCGTGATTTGTGTGAACTGAATGATTCTTTCTATGTGTCTCTAATAATAATAATAATACCTAGCTCTTTTATATAGCACTTTTCATCAGTAGATCTCAAAGCACTTCACAACCTTTCCTGTATTTTATTCTCACAACACCCTTGTGAGCTCGGGCAGTGCTATGTTCCCCATTTTACAGATGGGGCACTGAAGCACTGAGAAACTAAGGGACTCTCCCAAGGTCACACAGGAAGTCTGTGGCAGCCTAGAGAAGTGAACCTGGGTCTCCCAAGCATGTCAGCACAAAGAGCCATTAGATTTGCCTACAGACACACATGGGTGAATGCAGAAACCATCAGGGCACAGTAGGGCTTTGCAGTGGGGAGGCTTCCACTAAGACTAGGCTAATCCAGATGTTCAGACTGAGGACCAAACACTCGGGTTACCTGTGCAGTGAAGATGTAGCCAAAAAGACAGCCTCTGTCCTCTACAGCCTAACTGCGCATACTCTGTATGTACCTTTTCAAGTCAGAACCTATGATCCTGGGGCAGAATCTTTGCCTGATGTTCAGCGTAAGATACATTCTTGTTTTGCAACCGTGTCTGGATCTAACTGTCATGCTGTCTGGAATGGCTCACAAGCAAGCTTGACTCTGTGACAGATGGTCATTTTACCCAAAGAGCACAAAATATTGAGGTTACTCCCAGTCCCAAAGGAGCAGTCACATACCCCAGGTCAATTTGCACCTCTGATCTCACACCAAAGACAACGCTTGTAGCCAATCCTGTAATAAACTAACTAAAGATTTATTAAGTAGGAAAAAAGGAATGAGTTATTTAAGCGGTTAAAACAGATAAATCATAGAATCATAGAATCTCAGGGTTGGAAGGGACCTCAGGAGGTCATCTAGTCCAACCCCCTGCTCAAAGCAGGACCAATCCCCAGACAGATTTTTGCCCCAGATCCCTAAATGGCCCCCTTAAGGATTGAACTCACAACCCTGGGTTTAGCAGGCCAATGCTCAAACCACTGAGCTATCCCTCCCCACATGTGCACACACAAATGAGTTGCTGTCTTAGTTTTCAGATGGTGAAAGAGCTGCTTGAAATATTCCAGTTCCATATGTCCATTAGGGCTAACCCAAGTTAATCCTGGGGATCTCTTGCTTATGTTTAGAAATCTTTGTCCGTTAGAGTCCAAACATCATAAAAAGACCCTAACTCCTTCTGGTCAGGGAGTCCAAGCTGATGAGATGAGCACTTCTGCACCTAACCTCTTCATTGGGGGCGGAGGGGGAGGGGAAGAGAAATTGACAAAGTTTCTGTTCCACAGTGGCCCATTTGGATTCAATAGTCCTTCCTAATGGCCAGAAGATAACACCTTCTGTAGGAATCCAGCATTTTGCATTAGGTGAAGCTTCCCCTACCCTGCTC